ATAGGAACACAACTAGCGCACCTATAAGTAGGCCGTAAATCTGCCGTGTTCGGTATTCAAGTCACATTAATGGCGCATTTTAAGTAATCGCCTTTATTACTAGTTCTTAGCTCTCATTAAAATTACTCGCAAGATAAATTTAATCATCGAAACGTTCCCAACAAATTAAAACAAACGACTTTTATAAATTAGACACCGGACGCAACTAAACGGGAGTCGACATATCAAGATGAAACGATAAGATAATCGTCCGGTGGCGAGTGTTAATCGACCTTTCGACAAATACAGGGGCGGATTCAGGCAGGAAACAACTCACCGTGTCATTGCAACGTATTAATAAAACTCTTTAAAAATAAATCAATAGATTTTCAATATAATTCTTAGCGAATATTCATAGTTAATATAGTAGCATCGCAAATTAGTAAATATTAATTATATATGAACCACTTTGACATTTAATAGGGGTTGATATCAAATATTAATTTGAAAATTAATTTTAATTTTTTTCCCACTGTAAACTACCCCAGGTTAATGAGGGAAAATATGTTTCTGTTGTCACACCCTCGCGGGGAATCGAACCTTTAGCTTTGTTGCTTTGTTATACCATTGCTAAAAGCAATTAAGTGGTATATGCAATAAAGCGAACTAGAAACTGTTAATGATAAATCGTTTCGTTGTATGGTTCAATAGAAACCCTGATGTAAGGAAATTAAAAATATTTGGTTGTAATGCTTTCTTACACATACTAAATGAAAAACCCACAAAATTAGACCCGAAGAGTGTAAAATTTAAAATGATACGATATTGCCTTAACGATTACAGATACATAAAACAAATGTGTTATCGTTGGAAAGAATGTAAAGTTTAATGAAGATTTAGTTTCAAAGATTACAAGATCACAAATAATACAGATTTATTACGAAGATTAAAACTATATAGAAAATGAAGACATACGTGCATCTTATAGTATAGACAATTCAATTTTGAAAGTCATAACTGCGGAAAGAAAGTCGCCAAAAAGCAGAATGCAGATTCATGAAAAGGCAGAACACGCATAAGAAGCATGCACAACCAACGAAGAAACGAGGAGAAAAATATAGAATGCGACTATTGTACAAAGTGGTACCACATGAAGTGCATAAAGTTTTATGGTATCTCTTAAAGTTGCTCAGAAGGATTACAGATGTGAATACTATTCGTAATTCAAATTTTATATTTTTATTGTTTGTGTTTTATCTTGTTTTAAGAGAGTTGTTTTTTGTTTTTGTATGAATATATTCTGAATAAATAAATACCGCATAAGAATTATATTTTTTAATAACTGAGGAATATTTTAGACGCTTTGTAGGATTATAAACGGAACGTAGTAGTAACATTACCTGAAAGAAGCGGGGCGGATAGGTGCGAGACATTTAGAACAATTAGCTTAACTTCCCCTGCGTTAAAAATCATAACTAGAATTGTACAGAGAAGGATGAAAAAAGGGCGGAAGAACTATTAGGGGAAGATCAATTTGGATTTAGAAGAAATAGAGGAACGCGGGTAACAATAGAGCAAACGATAGAAAAAGGAAAAAGTGCGTACATAGGATTTGTAGATTTAGAAAAAGCTTTTGACAATGTTAAATGGGACAAGATGTAAAATATACTTAAACATGTGGTATGAGTTACAACGATAGAAGAGTAATACTTAGTTTGTATAAAAAGCAACAGGCAGTTATAGAGCTAGGGATGCAACGTAGAGAAGTAAATATTAGGAAGAGAGTCAGACACTGTCACAGCTACTTTTTAATCTTTAATAGAAAACGCGATCAACATCATTAAAGACAGTACAACTGTGGGGATAGATCTACAGGAGCAAAAGATTAGTATGCTTAGATTTGCAGATGATATAGCAGTATTAACATCTAGCAAGGAGGACCTACAGATAGCTTTAAATAAAATGGAAGCGGTACTGACAGATCAGTACTGTATGAAAATAAATAAAGGTAAAACTAAAATAATGGTATGCAAGGGAAGAAAAAGTAGGGAAAGAGCGAATATAAAGATAGGAGACGAAAAATTAGAAGAAGTGACTGATTTTAGATACCTAGAAAGTCAGATAAGTCAAGACGGAAGGAGTAGTAGGGATATAAAGCAGAGGATAGCGCAGGGTCGTGTCTCCTTTAATAAAAAGAAGTTACTTCTATGTTCATGAACGGTTAATTTAAAAATTCGGAAAAGGTTGTTATAAGTGTATGTTTGGAGCGCGGCGTTGCACGGGTACGAAACCTGGCCAATAAAAAATAGGCGAGATAGGTTGGTAGGACACAGGCATGAAGGTCTAGTCAGAGACATATTAGAGGCAGAAGCAGGAGTTAAGAGGGGTAAAGGTAGACCTAGATTACATTACTGTTCGCAAATAGTTAAGGATGTGAGTTGTTCTAGTTTTAGGAAAATGCGAAGATTAGCTCAGGATAGGAATGAGTGGAGGTGCGTATCCAACCAGTCGTAGGAGTGACGACCTTATAATGATGATGTAGTGTTTTAAAACTAATAACCTTAATCACAGTATAGTGATAAAAAGTAGGTATTGGCCGAGAAGGCGCACAACGCTAGTTGGTAACTGGCGACGATTGACCGAGAACCAGTAAAAGGTGCATGTCTCATTTTTTCCTTATTACTATACATTTGTTTTAAACCAAATTAAAATATAAAAAAACAATTGTGTGGCTTTATGAAACCACGATGGAAGTGAAACTTTTCGGATTGTAGACATTTAACTGTAAATTTTCAATTTAGGATATTAAAATTACAATCGCTTTCTTAATCTTATCTTAATGATTGGGAAATGGGAATGATAATGGGAAATCAATAGTAGACAAGATATTCAACTATAAATTTTAATTTCAATCTGCATATGAGAGTACGGAATACATAATATAGGGTTGTTCGGAAAGTCATTTCGTTTTTCTTTGTGGAAATGAAAGACAGTTTTCGTATAATAAACAAATACTTTATTAAATTATATATTGACCGTTCTGGTCCAACACCTTTTGCCATCTTTCTGGTAGTAGCATAATTCCACGCTCATAAAATTTTTGGTCTTTGCTGGCAAAAAACTGATCGAGGAGGTTTTTGACCTCCTCATTTGAGGTGAAGGTTTTACCGTCTAAAAAATTTTGGAGTGACCGGAACAAATAATAATCCGATGGTGCCAGGTCTGGAGAATATGGTGGGTGTAGCATTGTATCCCATTCAAGCTGTAAAAGCTTTTGGCGAGTGACCAAACTTGTGTGAGGTCTCGCGTTGTCTTGGTGAAACACTACACCTTTCCTGTTGATTAGTTCTGACCTTTTCTGTTGAAGTGCATCATTCAGTTTGTCCAGCTGAT